ATATTGAGGAAGTATGACCTTATTAGGTGCTGTCCTTACATGTAAGTATGGGATTTCCTTAAATCAATTGAGCATGTGCATCCTGAATTTGCAGAAGTGAACTAGTAAGGGGCCATTACCTTGTTTCCAGTTCACTAAGCAACTAACAGTGTGGTTGGTGATTGAAGTCCAACATTCAATTGCTACAGAACACCCAGATTCACTGAATCACCCACCTTGTAAAGTCACTCTCCGAACCCTGATGCTACCAATGTTTAGGGTTATATAAATTGTAGCCAAAAGTCAGGTTAGGGGACTGGGTTTGCTTTAAGGACTGCTGGACTTTTTCTGTCTCTTGGCGGATGTGGTTGGCCTGTCGCTTCCACAGTAAATGCTGTACATACTGTAGCTCCTGTTGGCACTGTCACTCAGAGAGAACAAAGGACCAGTACGTTGTTCTTCTTTAGAGACTCTGCTGCTCAAGTAAAAGTTGGCGATGGTGCCAGCAGTTTAGTTTTCCAACTTTAAGAGTCAGCCATTTTAAGGGACCACAAATACCAGCAAAGAGTGGGACTATCTTAGCATGACTTTTATTCCTATTGTTTCTTTGTTCATTTATACCATCAAGGTCATGGGACAGTTAGCTTGCGTTGTAACCACCAGCTGGTGGCTATCAGTAACTGCAAGTTCACTACAGTTCAAAAGTTCTGTATCTTTGTTTGTTTCAACGTTATTATTTGTGTGCAACTGTATGAAATACCCACAATAATTATAAAAACCATACTAACATGACAGTATAACCAGTCACCAACTGGCCACTGCAGCGTAAAAATGTATATTAGTTTGTCTCTGGCCACCTTGAAAAAAAGCTCCAGTTCTGTTGAGAAAAATATCATCCAGGTGAACAGTATAAAATGCAAGGATTTTAGCTAACTTCATTGCAGATTCTTACCTTTGTCTGTTCTGAAGAGATTGGTGTTTGTGGTATAATGTCCTTTCCTAAACTGACTGCTAAGTGGGAGGCTGCCTTCATTACCACCTGAGGAACCTCAAGCAGTGAAGGAGCATCCTTTGCATGACTGTAGCCTTGAAGAGTCTTTGACATGATCCTAGCCAACATGAACCTTTTAACGTCTATAGTTGCAAGAAAAGCACATTAGTCTTGGAAAATCATAGTGGCTGTGGGCAGCTTCACATGTACTTTCAAATGCGTGTGACATGCAACCTCTGTGTTGACTAGCTGGTAAATGTGCTATGGAATGTATGTATTGTTCTCTCTCTCTCCTTCTCTCCTTATGGGTGTGTTGTATGTATATACACTGAGTGGCTAGATTATTATGACCACCTGTTTGTAGGCAAATTAGCTATAATTAGCTATAATTTCGCGCTGAAGTTGCTAGAGGGCCAGACCATTATAAATAGGGAAGCAGGTTGTTTACCACAACAGTAGAAGTGATTTTTTTTCTGAAGATATGGGGAAACAACGCGATTTAACGTGGGATGATTGTTGGCGCTTGGAGCCATGGAGCGAGTATCAGCAAAACAGCAGAATTCGTTAAATGTTCAAGAGCAGCTGTTGTTAAAGTGTTTAAAGACTGGACTGTCAGCCGAAAATCTGGGTCTGAACGTGCGAATTGTGGCCGTCAGCGACTAGTCAATGTTAGGGCAGAACGGAGAGTGGCAAGACTGGTACAAGACAACAGAAGGGCAACAGTGAAGTGTCAGATTCCTCGCATCACCTTTCAACATCTCGTGGAGTCACGAGGCGGCCCAACGAAGTCATCTCGTGGAGTTATCTCGTGGCCCAACGAAGTACTGATGGGGTGGTCATAATAATCTGGCCACTCAGTGTATAGAATATTGGCACCCCTGCATTTCTGTCAGATAATGCACCACTTTGCATAGAAAAATGTTGCAATTGCAAATGTTTCGGCATTCTCATGTTTATTTCTTGTGTTTGTTTTGGTATGACACAAAAAAGTGAGGAAAAAGAAGCCTAACCTGACACATTCCATGCAAAACTCCAAAAATGGACTACACAATTATTGGCACCCTCAATTAATATTTGGTAGCTTAGCCCTTGGAAAAAATAACTGAAATCAATGGCTTCCTTTACCCATCAATGAGTTTCTCACACCTCTCTACAGGAATTTTGGACCACTCTTCTTTCGCCAACTACTCCAGGTCTCTCAGATTGGAAGGGCTCCTTTTCCCAACTGCTGTTTTGAGATCTCTTCACAGGTGCTCTATGGGATTCAGATCTGGATGCATTGCTGGCCAGTCCAGTACTTTCCAGCGCTTTGTCTGAAACCATTTCTAGGTGCTTTTTGACATGTGCTTTGGGTCATTGTCCTGCTGTAAGACCCATGACCTCTGACGGAGACCCAACTCTCTGACACAGTACCCTACATTGCACCCCAGAATTCTTTGGGAGTCTTCAGATTTTATAATGGCATGCACACAGTCAAGACATCCAGTGCCTGAAGCGGCAAAGCAACCCCAAAACACCAGTGAACCTCCACCATGTTTGACTGTAGGGACTGTATTTTTTTCTTTAAAGGCCTCATTTCTTTTTCTGAAAACAGTAGAATGATGAGCTTTACCACAAATCTGTAATTATGTTTTGTCTGTTCACAGCACATTCTGTCAAAAGGATTTTGGCTTCCTCAGGAAAGTTTTGGCAAACTCCAATCTGGCTTTTTATGTTTCTGTGTCAGCAACGGGGTCCTCCTGGGTCTCCTACCATAGTTGTACCCTGTACCGGAAGGTCAGCTTGAATTTCCTTGGAGGTTGATCGAGGGTCTTTATCCACCATTTGAACAATCCTTTGTTGCAATCTTTGATCAATTGCTATCTTTCGTCCACATCCAGGGAGATTAGCTACAGTGCCATGGGCTGTAAACTTCTTGACAATGTTGCGCACAGTAGGCACAGGAACATTAAGTAGATGGACTTGTAACCTTGAGATTGTCCATGCTTTTGCACAATTTTTGTTCTCAAATCCTCAGACAATTCTTTGCTGCTCTTTCTCTTCTCCATGCTCCGTGAGACACACAACAGAAAGGTTGAGTCAGTTTTTCACCATTTTAACTGGTTGCCGGTGTGATTCCTATATTGTCAGCACCTATTAATTGATACAGGTAAGTTTAATTACAAATTACAGGAGCATCACAAACTTGGAATGCAATAATTTCTTGCAATTTGGTGAAGGTGCCAATAAATTTGTCCAGTCCATTTTTGGAGCTTTGCATGGAATGTGTCAGATTTGGCTTTTTTTTCTCCACTTTCTTTTGTGCCATACCAATATAAACAAAAGAAATAAACAGGAGAATCCTGAAACATTTGTAATTGCAACACTTTTCTATGCAAAATGTTGACAGAAATGATATATATATATATACACCACAACTATAAGGAGAAAAGGAGAGAGAGAGAGAGAGAACAATACATACATTCCATATAGCACATTTACCAGCTAGACAACATAGAGGTTGCATGTCACATACATTTGCAAGTACATGTGAAGCTGCCTTGTTGAAGGCTAAGTTTACCTAAATAACATGTTTCATGTTACACCCATATTCAGTGTGTTACATCTCCAGCCCCTCCAAACTGCCTCCCCTTACTAAGTCACAGGGTTCTTCTTTCCGAAGGCTTCTGTCACAATTTAAATTTGGCACGGTTCTGCGTGGCAGTTGCGTTATCCATTCAAAGATCCTTTGACATGATCTGTGAATGGAGAGACTACAATGTAGAAGATGTGTTGTTTGCACACCATTCGGCCTGGGAATATCATCTTTATTCATATTCCGTTAGCATGACATGTGAATGCAATGTTTCAGAGCCTCGCCGGACCCCATCATCAGGCAAAATGTCAATGATCAAAAGTGAAAGATAGAAAGAGAGAGAGAGGGGAGAGAGAGACACGAGAGAGGGGGAGAGAGAGAGGAGAGAGAGAGGGGGGAGAGAAGGAGAGAGAGGGGGGGAGAGAGAGAGAGGGGAGCGAAAGGGGGGGGGGGAGAGAGAGATGACCCTCTTACATTTCTATTTTTTTTTTGTTGGTAATTACAGTTTTCAAAGTATTTTTTTGGTAGCAAAAGATGGTTAAAATTGGTTCCTATTGCCTAAAAATGCCCTGTGCATGGCCAGAATAAGGCAAGGCAGACGCGGGCGATTTTATGGCGGTGCGATCGTGCTACTAAAATTGCCTGCAATTAATCGCTAGCGACTGCCACACATACAGCAGAACGTAGTAGCGACCGATCGCACAAATTTGGAGCACTTCATGATCATCACCTATTAACCACTACATCATACTACATTCCATTGTAGATTGATCGCTAATTGCTAGCAATTAATCACCCCCAATTTTAGTAGCATCATTGTATTGCTCCAAATCACCAGTGAGTGCACAGCCAAGATATTTTTGCAATATAGGAACTAATACAAATAGTAATACAGTAGTTTCGTGTGATAAAAGGCATCAACATCCAAGAGGTTCTGCAGCAGCCGAATAATTCTTCATTGCTGCCTGGTTGGGGGTGCCTGGCATGAAGAGACCCTCTGATTATGACAATGAGCACATCATCACTCAATTGTTACGAACAAAAAAAAAAGAAAAGGCAGCTTGCCCTAGAGGGAGGTAGGAGAGCCAGCGACATGGGGAAGGGAGGCTTGGCAAGCAGCTCAATCAGAGGTAGCCGCTTCTCGTGTGACACACCCCTTGTGTTATTGGGTGCCTGGACGTCAGAGTGCTCCTGGGGAGGGCGAGAGACTGGATCTGCTCCGAGCTCAGTGACAGCCAGCTCGCTGGAAGCGCACGGCCACTCAGGCAGACTCAACAAGCACACAGACTGACAATCAACAGATAGCGATGACATTACCTGTGAGCCATCAGTGAGGAGGAGATCCGGATCCAGCCAAGGACAGGATGGCAACAACAGTGTGACATGCCAGCGCAGCAATGCCCACCCGAGCCAGATGTGGTGGGCTCACCATCGCTGTACTGCACAAGGCTGAGGAGGATGCACAGCGGCAGAGGAGCTGTCAATCATCCCAGGAAAGGTGCCTAGACCCGGAGAAGCACGCCGGGCTCTTCTGATCACTGGGGTGCGGCTGCTCTTCAGCCATCCAGGAGCAAAGGTGTGTGGCCAGTGGCTAAGGGTGTGATCACCTTGATAAAAGACAGAGGTGGGGGTCCAAGAGAGGGTAAGGACTCCATTCCCCAAAGCTGGAGACAACATGACTGTGGTCTCAGGAGAGAACGTGGAGGAGACCCTGGTGTCTCTCAGCGCCCTGGGGCAAGAGGGCTATGACCCTGAGAGGGCCACTCAGGACTGCTGCGAGAGGGTGGTCATCAATATCTCAGGGCTGCGCTTTGAGACCCAGCTCAGGACTCTTGCTCAGTTCCCCCAAACCCTGCTGGGGGACCCCAGGAAAAGGATGCGCTTCTTCGACCCCCTACGGAACGAGTACTTCTTCGACCGCAACCGCCCATGCTTTGACGCCATATTATATTATTACCAGTCTGGGGGCCGGCTCCGCAGACCTGTCAACGTACCCGTGGACATTTTCCTGGAGGAGATCAAGTTCTACGAGCTTGGAGAGCAGGTCATTGAGATGTTTCGAGATGATGAAGGGTTCATTAAAGAAGAGGAGAGACCCCTGCCTGAAAATGACTTTCAGAAGCAGGTCTGGCTGCTTTTTGAGTATCCTGAAAGTTCGGGACCTGCAAGGGGTATTGCCATTGTCTCTGTACTAATCATTCTGATATCTATAGTTATATTCTGCTTGGAGACACTTCCTGAGTTCAGGGACGAGACAAAACACTCAAGTGAGCACCTGATGTCCAATGGAACCCAGTCCACAAAAGACAGCCCTTTCACTGACCCTTTCTTTCTTATTGAGACCCTTTGCATCATCTGGTTTTCATTTGAGCTTTTAGTCAGGTTCTTTGCCTGTCCGAGCAAGCCTGCTTTTTTCAAGAACATGATGAATGTTATTGATATTGTAGCTATTATCCCTTATTTCATTACTTTGGGCACAGAGCTGGCAGAACAGCAAGGTAGCAACGGGCAACAAGCCATGTCCTTGGCTATATTGAGGGTAATCCGCCTGGTGAGGGTCTTCAGGATCTTCAAGCTCTCCAGGCATTCCAAAGGGCTCCAAATCTTGGGCAAAACTCTGCAGGCCAGTATGAGGGAATTGGGTCTTCTTATATTCTTTCTCTTCATTGGAGTCATTCTGTTCTCCAGCGCTGTATACTTTGCAGAGACTGATGACCCAGATTCTCTCTTCACCAGCATCCCAGATGCCTTCTGGTGGGCTGTGGTCTCCATGACCACAGTGGGCTACGGTGACATGTATCCACTGACCATTGGTGGCAAGATAGTAGGTTCTCTGTGTGCCATAGCTGGGGTGCTAACCATCGCCCTTCCAGTCCCAGTCATCGTCTCCAATTTTAACTACTTTTACCACAGGGAGAACGACCATGAAGAACAGTCTCAGTACACCCATGTCACCTGTGGACAGCAGCCTTCTTCTTTTGGAGATCTAAAAAAGAGTGAAAGCAAACAGTCCTTTAACAAATCAGATTACATGGAGTCAGAAGACCTGGAGGACGCAAGGTTTTCTCACTTTACCACCAACCAACACTATGCTGAGCAAAAAAAGTTAACTGAGGTATGACCTCTTTGGTAAGTTCCTCAAACTGTTTATCAAAGCTAAAAGGTCTTGGTGTTAATGACCTCATTAATAGTGCTGGCCATGTAGAAGAGGGTCATCAAACCACTGAGGATAGTTAAGTATATACAGTAGAGGAACCTATAGAAGGTCCTAGCTGTGAGGTTGTCTTAGATTTACTAGTGTTCAACCAACCATGAAGATCGCTGGGTTGTAATAAAAAAAAAAGTCGGTACATCATCTATGGCTCTGCACGTAGTGAAGGTGACTTTGCAACCTAGTGCAAACAATTACTTCCAAGCAAATAACCCCTTTGCGTGGTCTGTAAGTGGCTTTTTGTGAGGATGATTTTTCCAACAATGTGTTTGCATCAGTGTTTCCCAAGGATTATTACACCACGCAGTAGCTGGGAGATGCCATCCTGTAGGAATCACACACTAGCACATTATTAACATGGCATAAGCTGCTACGGATAGATTTTTGCAACAGTGCCATTCAATGACAAGAACTCAATAACACAGTGTTCTTTGGGGACTTAGAGGAGACACAAGGGCTGCAGAAGACCAGCTGTTGTGGAGCGGTGACAAAAAGTTAAGAATGCATTTCCTATTTTATTTTTTTTATTTTATTTCTGGCATTGGCCAGCTTTTTTTTTTATCAGCCATTTACCCTTCATTTTTTATGCACAAACAAGGGAAATAAAAATTCCAATTATTCCCAGGGTGGAAAAATCCAGTGTTATCATAACAAAGCCAATACAGAGGGAAGATGAAGATTCCCAATTATGGATAAGCAACTGGTCCTTATTTTGTCACCTCTGTGTATAAACATCTGCAGATTTTGCACGTTATCTTAATTTGTTTACATCATTGCCGTGCGTGGCATTTTTTAACCCTTTTGCTGCTAGGGATTCCTGCGAAACAATCACTTTGGAAAAAAGGGTTAATTTTGTTTAGCTTTTTTTATTTAACCAAATATTTTCCTTATCTGTAAGTGCCTTCATGTGTAAGGTCAACATTTTGGGTTGTGTAGATTTTATTCTATTTGTTTTTTTTTTTGCATTGACAAGACATTTGACCAGATCATTAAAAAATATCACTGATTAAGATGAACTTTTATTAAGGGGCCAGAGGTCATCTGGCTGGAAATGAAATCATACTGTGCTCTCAGTGGATTATGTTGTCTAAATGTTATATTAGCCATACATGCACTAAAATATATTATTTTTCATTAATGGCTGTCTATAGGCTTTGGTTATTTGATTGCTTTATTGAGTCCTTGCTTGAATTATGCCGGTGTACAGGTTACCTTGTCAATAAGAGTTGTGGTGTGTTGTACTAGCTGACATTGCACAGCACCAAGGCACTAGGGTCGCACAAGAGCTTTTCATGGTCGCTTGCGTAAAAAGATCAGCCTATCTTCTCCCAAAAAACACTACGAGTCTGACAGCAGCAGGGCATATCCAATTGAGTTCAATCATCTGCATATGCTATTGAGTTTCATCATCTGCTTCAGTGAAGAATTTTCATGCCGTGATTTTTTACAATTTCCAGCCAAAAACGCTCTTGTGTGACCTTGGACTCAAGATGTCATTTTCAATATTTTTCAGCCTGCAGCCTTCATAAAAATGACCTGGTGATCCTGCCAAGGTCCTTGTTCAGGCTTTTTCTGTTATACGGTAACAGCCCTCTGGCCCTGCCTCCCACTTGCACTCCTGTGTTGTCACCCTGTCACACAGGTTTCTGGTGGAGACTACAAGTGGCTATTTCAGAACACATTAAAGTAGAACTATGAGGCGAGTGAAAATCACTCATCCTCATAGTTCTAGTCGACCTGCGACAATGAAACTGTCACACGTCGGCTCAATAGATCGGGAAGTGAGCGAACACATAGCGTTGCTCGCTCACTTCTCGATCTATCCCTGCAGAGAGCCGTGACTGTCACTCACGGCTCCCTGCAGGTATTCCCCCCCCTCTCCTGTCCGATCCTCCAGCGCTGACTGGCGGAACGGACGGGGGAAGGGGCGGGCACAGCTGGCTCTGCCTCTAGGTAGGCAGAGCCAGCTGTCACTCACGCAGCTGGGTGGATCTCGACAGTAATGTCGGGATCCGTCCCGGCTGCGGCGTCTCAGTATACCGCGAGCTGTAGCTGGCGGTATACTGAGCTTAGGGTGAGTGGAGGACGCTAGTTTGTGTCCTCCCGTTACCCTTAGGAGAACTATGGGGAAAAGCCCTGACCCCATAGTTCTCCTTTAAGCAGTCATGGTCAACTGTTGTCACCATCAGGAAACTTGTTTAATCTATGCAACAACTCCTACGCTCCCAAACGGAGTGTCACCCAGGTAAAGGGCAACTCCCCTCAAGATTGAAACCAATATCATACGCTTACAAATAGAACGGGGGTTTTAACAGTAGGAAACAAGGAACAGGAACAATAGGAAAACAAAAAAGGTATCAAAGGCTTTTAAAAACTAGAACATTTGATTTAATATATCTATTAAAATCAATACGTATGTTTAAAAAGCAAAGTCCTTCATGGCAAGTGAGTCATTCCTTATAAGCCAACATTACAAGATGTACAACTAGGATAATGAACTTTCTGGAGGAAATGACGAGTGAGGGGGGTCCTCCTGCAAGTAGGTTGCAGATTAACTGGAGATGCTATAGAGTTTTGAACTCTTGCACCTCCTGTGGTCCCCCCCTCCTGTAGCGGGCACCGATGGATGCCGGGCTTCAGTGTCCCTATATCCAATGGTGTAAGCAACTTTTTTGTGAGTGTCTCTCTCCTGAGGAAGCTTATAGTGGTGAAACGCGTTGAGTTGATACATCAGCCAACACTCTATGACGTCTCCAATTATTCTGCAACCTACTTGCAGGAAGACCCCTACATCCTCATTTCCTTCAGCAAATTCATTATCTTTTTTGTACATCTTGTAATGTTGGCTTATAAGGGACGTCTCACTTGGTATGAACTAGGGATGCACCGATACCGGTATTTCGGTATCGAGTACGAGTACCAATATTGTTTTTTCGGTACTAGCCGATATCGAATACTGAGTACCGGAAGTCCCATTCAGGAAGCCAGGCGGCGTGTAATGACTCGCCTCCTGGCTTCCTCATTAGCTGGGAAGCCGGGCAGCGTGTAAAGACTCACCACCCGGCTTCCTGATTAGCAGGGAAACCGTCCCCATGCTTCTCGTCACTACGTGATGAGAAAGCATGGAGCCGCCTTCCCGGCCAATCAGCAAGCAGGGCAGCATGTAATGACGCACTGCCCGGCTTCTTGATACCGGAAGTATCGGTCTAGGCATCGGGGCATTTGGCGAGTATGAGTACTCACACATATACTCGGCATCAGCACCAATACCGATACTAGTGTCAGTATCGGTGCATCCCTAGTATGAACATACATATTGATTTGAATTGATATATGGAATAAAATGTTCTAGTTTTTATAAGCCTGTGATACCTTTTTTGTTTTCCTGTCATGGGCTACTGATAAAACCCCATTCCGCTTGTAATTGTAAGATGTTGGTTACCATCAAGAAACACACCTTGAACAATGCCATGTAGACATCACCGGAGTGCATGTAGGCAAGAAGTGGCTGCATAGAGGCTGCAGGAGATCAGCAGTACCAAGATACAACAAAGGATGGAAAAATTGAAAAGAAGTATTTTTAATGGCAATTTTTATGGCTTTACGTTGTTTTAACAAACAAAATGTTTTTTTTTCCAGTTAGAGTTTACATCTACTTTAAAGGGCAGCTCCACCCAGAACTAATATTTTAGGTTTATGTCGCTGTTGGCAAGTTAAATGATATGCTGTAATAGCTCTCAGGGACATCAGTGGCGAGATCTTCCCTTCAAAATACCCAGTTCTGCCTAATTGGCACCATCATTGCAAAATCAATGTATAACATAAGGTTTGGGTAAAATCCAGGGCCAGCCTTAGGGGTGTGCGAGCAGTGCGGCCGCACAGGGCGCCATGGCAACAAGGGCGCCGTGCGGCCGACACAGCTCGTCAAATCCCTTTCAGGAATTTGTTGTTATTGTTGTCTGTGTTCCATTGAGGAGAGTTGACTTCACTTCCTGTCTCAAAGTCACAGCAGGAAGAGGAGATCTCCCAAAAATAAGGGGATATGCCTACCTAGACATCTGTTACCAGATCAGATATACCTATTAGAAGATTTCACCTCCTTGTGTGGTCAAATCTGAAACATTTTGGATTACCCATTACTTTCTGCACCGCCAGATGGTCAGCAGGGCCAATAGAGAGGGTAAATCTACCCAGCGGGGACATAGCAATAAATACGAGTGATGATTTTTTTTGCCTATACTCGCCGATACCAAATACCAATACCAAAAGTCCTATTAAGAAAGCCGGACGGCGTTCAATGACTCGCCGCCCGGCTTCCTGATTAGCTGCGAAGCTGGCTCCATGCTCCCTTGTCACCAGGTGACGATAAAGCATGGAGCCGGGCGGTGAGTCATTACAAGCCACCAGCGTCCTAATTGGCAGGGAAGCCGGCTCCATGCTCCCTCCTCACCAGGTTCTAATCCCTAGTTCTAATCCTTTTCACTCTATCCAAAATGTAAAAAAAATTAACTTTACATATACCAGTTATAACCAGTTACCCCTCTCATGCTTTTTTTTCTTTTATCAAAGAATCACAAAATAACCAATGCAATAATTGAAAGCCCAGTTAAGGTTCCATTTTTATTACTGGAATGCAGTCAGGCTGCATAAACATTAATACATGGGGCTGTCTTAATTATATTTTTAATTAACTGCGCTGCAGAGAAAGGGTTAAAATATCCCATGCTGGCAGCTTGCTGGAGATCCAGACCCATGCTCAAGCCAGAGCTCAGTGGTCTGACACGCCCCTGTGCTGTGCTCCAATCAACAACACTGCTCAGGGAGTGTGAGGGCTCTTGATTGGAGCACTGTGCAGGGGGCGTGTTGGTCCGATCCGGACTCGGACTCCTGTCCTCTGTGCTGAGCAGCTTCTCGGCTCTCCAGTGTGCTGCCAGCACAGAGTATTTGAACCCTCGCTGCAGCACACTAGTTCATTTAAATGTGAGAAGAAGGCCCCATCCGTTCATACAGGGAGACTGCATTACAGTAATAAAAAGAAAGACTTCAACTGGGCTTTGCACGTTGGATGAAAACGTAAATGCAGTAAAAATGCTTTTGGCAGTTAAATTGTAGATGGCTGTTCATCAGATCTAAGAGAGGAGCATTTGAGGATAAATCCAGGACAGAGAGATTTAACTCTTAAAGTAACACTGTTATCACAGGGTCCCTTGTTTATTTACCTGTAATAAAAGAAGCTCTGGACATTTCCAGTGACCTGTTTGTTGAAATTCCACCTGTTTGATGCTTGCCAGGAAGAATAAACAGTGTGCATGGAGGAATCTGCACTGTTTAGCCAGTTTATTTGCTGGCTTTTTAGTGCATTTTTGCAGCATGTTTTCACACGCGTTGATGCATGTTTTCAATTCTATCTGCTGTGACATCATTAGGCCTGGTCTACCTTGTATCTGCTTCCTGCTTGTTCTGAGTTGTGTTGCTCTGTGTAGTTGTTCTTTCTGCCCAGACGTAGCCACTGCCACACCTCAGGGGCAATGTCC